TCTTTCCTTGGTCTAAGACAAACATTGATTCTTTGATTCCAGACACTTAAGGATGTCTCGCTTGGTTGCTTTTTGGCAATCAAGCTGAACGCTTGCCAGTTGCTTCCGTTTTCCCACCCCTTTTTTCTCAAGGGAAAAAAAAAATCTGACATTAAACTCCAGTGTTATGGAACAGAAGAGCTTTGTACGTGGAAGGACTGAGGGTGGGAATCCTCAGCCTGGAGAAACAGAGGTTGTAAGAGTCATGTGTGTTGTGGAGGGGATGCATAGGGATCGATTGCATTCTCCAGTACAAAGGTGGCATCAAATGGTGCTGGCAGATGGCAGGCTCAGATAAAAGGTGAGGTTTCAGATGAAACCACACAATGCGTCATTACGCTGAGCAACTCTTTGCCACAGCATGTCATGGATGCAAGTTCACGTGAGTTCAGGGGGGGACCAGCAAGTTCACGGTTATTAAATAACCAGAGACGAGCTCTGCCTTGGGGAGTCCCTCCAGGGGGTTGGGGACTGGGAGAGGATTCAGGGAGTGTATCATTAAAGGCTCTCTGTGGCGTTTTTTCCTTGGGCATCCACTTTTGGCCAGTTGGAGTCGGGGCATTGGGCTAGCGAGGCTCTGTGTCTGACCCACCAGAAATGTTCTTACCTTTTCATGTTCTCTGTGTTCCACTGCTGCTTTGCAGCTTTAATCACTTCATGTCTGCCCACAAAGTGCTTCCCTAACGAAGGGGACAAACTCTGTGTCTTGTAATACAGAGTGAGATGTTTTATTCTCCCGTAGTATTAACAAGCAAGGAAAAGTATATTGAAAAATTCAAGAAAGCACTTTTCATGTATGGCATACACCAGATGCACCTGTGATGTGTTGAAATCAACAAAGACTAAGCTCATCTAATAATAATCTTTTAAAATAGAGGTGTGGATACCAAAACACAGCTTTTCCAACTCTTTTAATGACTGACTTTAAAAAAAAAGCCTTCCCACAAAGAGTAGGGGAAATCCAAGATGCTGAAAGGCAAAGACAGCATGTATTCATGAGTTTAAATTTGGGGAATTTCCCTTTGTACTGGACACTGATAAAAAGTCTTTTAAACATCATATTATAATGCAGCTGCAACAGCAATTATTGTACCTCAAACATCTTTAAGGTTAGTACATTTCCTTGCTTAAAAATTGTACTTGAGGAGAACACGTGGAAATACTTGTCTACAAAATGAGGAGGGGTTTTGTGTCCCCGGCTGCCTGTGCAGCTCATGATGACACTTTTCTCCAGTTTTCTGGTATTTCCGCCCGCATTCTCCAACACAGGCCGAGCCTGCCAGCGTGCCCAGTACCACAG